GAGTCACTCGAGTCCCGCTGTGCCAGGCCCGTGGTGCTGTCTGGTAGGGTCTGCACTGTGTCTGGTAGGGTCTGCGCTGTGCTGCGCCGCTGCTGCGCTGCTGCGCTGTGCTGCACTGTCTGGTAGTGATAGTGGCTGCCTGCACTCGGAAGGACCGCGGACAGGTTCCAGATTCTGGATGCAGCGTCGTCGTCGTCTCGTCGCCGTCGTCGTCCGTCGTCGTCGTCGTCGTCGTCGTCGTCGTCGTCGTCGTCGTCGTCGTCACCGTCGTCGTCGTCGTCGTCCGTCGTCGTCGTCGTCGTCGTCGTCGTCGTCTAAGCCTTAAGCCCTACGGCGCTGCCCACACCTGCGGCCCCGGGCCGACGAACTGCTGGGCACCAAAACGGCGCTGCTGGCATCGCTGAGCGCTGATGGAATCGCTGGGCGCCACACTGCTGGCAACACTGGGCCCCGGGCGCCGAACTGGGCATGGCATGGCGAAGCTGCTGGCGCGCTACTTAGGAGTCGCAGTCCCTGAAGGATGCGTCTCCTCGAGAAATGTCATCGGATCAGCGAAGACGTCAGGATACTGCTCGGCGCGCTTCGCGCACCATTTGAGCCACAATTCCTGCTCCTGGTCACTGATGGTATCGGCGATCCAGCAACCCGTGCACATGAAACCTACGCCTGCCGCGAGAAAGCGCCTGCCGCGCCACACTCCATCCCACGTGGTGTTATGACAGTCGCTGCAAGTCGGCATGGAAGGCTTGCACTCGCTGCAATGGTATTTGCAACTGTTGCTCCTAGATACTGGCCAACGTCGTTGGTGGCACGTCGCGCATTTTGGCGGCTCCACAGTTGCGGGCGGCGGCATAACAGGACGGGTCTTCTCAGGCTCAGCCTTCAGGGGCTGCGGCGGCGACTCCTGAGGAGCTGACTTGGGCGCCTCTTCCTCGGGCTGTGCGGCAGCACTGTCGTCGGTCGGGGGGTGGCGTCTGCGCCGGAGAAGCGGGCGGCTGGCCGAACGTTCAGCTGCAGCAGGGCGGCGAGCTTCGCGGGGAGACGCGTCGCGCCTCGAGCGCCTAGACCTAGACCTAGCGGCAGGCTGCGACGAGCAACGGCTGACCGAGACGAGGCGGTAAGGCCCCCTTCGACGCTCTCGAGCCGCGCCTCGAGAAACGTGCCGCGCAGGGGGTGAGGGCCGCCTTCGGTCTCGCTCGCGGCGACGCTCCCGAGGCTCCTCAGTCCTGGCCGCCCTGGCCCTGGGCGCCATCTGCGCCTCGTGCTTCCTCCAGTCATCTTGGGAGCCTCCTGGCGACTTGCGGGCCCTGTCTCCACTTGCCTCCTTGGGCGGGGGATCTTGCCTGGGATCCTCGCGGTGGCGGAGGCTCGACTGATCGCTGCCAGGCCCGTGGCACATGGCTAGGTGATACTCGGCACGGGCGACGTGATAACTTCGATCTCTCTGGCCGCCCTGGCCGCTGCCCTTGACTCTGACTGTCCTGACTGGGCTGGGTGACCTGGCTGACCTGCGGCCCTCGCGCGGGGCAGAAGACGCGCGTGACGAGCTGCCTGACTCCTCTGGCACTGCAGACTCTGCAGACTCTGGCGGCGGCTGCTGACTTGGCGGCGGCCCTGAGGCTGGGGGCTCACAAGCAAACTGTGGCAGAGAATTAAAGTGCGCGGCGTGGCCCGTATGACCCGAGAAGACTGGGGCCGAAGCCGCTGTGGCAGCCACTGGGGGACTTAAGTTAATTAAGGGTGCCAAGGGGGCCAAGGGTAAAGGTGGCAGTATGAGCGGCAAACGCGGAGAAGACTTTAAAGGCGGCGGAGAGCCCCTGCTTTTGGCGGTGGCCCCAGAAACAGAGCCTGGGAAAACGTCGGCCCATGAGGCATGGGAGTTAGGCGCACTGGAGTCCCTGGAGGGCGGGTGCTGCACTGGGCCTGCTGCGCTGGAGGACGGGTGCTGCACTGGGCCTGCTGCACCGGAGGACGGGTGCTGCACTGGGCCTGCTGGCGGCCCTGGCCCTGGCGGCCCTGGCCCTGGCGCATCTGGAGCGCGCACTGGGCCCGCTGGCGCAGCTGGAGCGCTTGAGCGACAGAGGAACTCAGCGGCTCCCTCCATCATGCGAGATGGTTCGGGAAACCCGATCCAGAGAGAAAATAATCGATCGCTCAACTTCGGTCCTGCACAGATGCGAAGGTGATTGGGCAAGCGCATGCTGGCAGGAGGTCCTGTAGCGGGGCCGACGCAGCCAGGCGGCGGCGCCACGAAGGCAAAGAGTCCTGCTTGTTTGTCGCGCAGGTCTGGGAAGTGATCCCTACGAACGCAGTCTATGACGTCGCAGACGCGGAGCCCTCGCCGTGGGATCTGTATAGTGAACCACTGGAGGGACCGCTGCGGGACGCAAACGAAGAGCGTGCTGTGACCAAATTCTAAACTGGGCTGAGTTGTGCGACCTGACTCATCAGCAGGCAGGTCGCCGTCAGAGTCGTCCGAAGGGCCATCACGAGACCGCCTGCTGCGATCGGGCCTGCGAGCATCGCGGTCCGAGCTGCCACGACGCTGGTGCGGCGAGCGAGACCTAGGCTGTCCCTTAGAAACCCGCAGTGACTTGTGATACCCGAATACAATAAAGACTGCAAGCAAGCGGGCATAGAAAGCAAAGCTGGATGCGAAAAGAGCTTGCCGGCTCACGGCGCGGAGCTGGCGTACTTGACGGCGCGCACCAGCAGGCCCTCCAGCAGCCGCCCACGGGGGGCTGGAGGACCAGCGCGTGGTGGCCGTGCCTGGCTGACTAGCCAGGCCCTCCGCGTCGCACGAGAGCAACGCGGGCCGGTTGTAGAGGCCCTCGGAGTAGATGAAGTCGTGCTGCATGGGCCCGTCGGGCCTGTGCTGATCACTGCCAAGCCTGGGTGCTGTCTCGCATGCTGCCTCTGCCGCCTGCCTCAAATCATCCAGCTTCTCGAACGCGTTCTTCCGAAAGAGGTGGATCCCCGACTTCTGGCTGGTCGATGCCAAGGGCGTCCATGAAGGCGCGCAGGATGGTCGTGCAGTCCTGGGTTCGAACGTACCTAGGTTCTTGAGGCCACGGAGTGACGCTAGGACTGGGATCTTGAGGCGGCGGAACGACGCGTGGGCCATCGCGGACCAGGTCCCCAAGAGCGTCCCTGGCAAAGATGATGTGCTGGCCTGTGAACCGCAGGAAGTCGGCCCTTGCGGAAACCAGGTCTGCGGCCAACGCCACCGCCTGACCCATGTGGTCCATGTACCGCTGGAAGTGCGTAGGGCAGGGCCCTGCCTCGACACGAGCGCGTCGCTCGACGTGTTCGGCATGTTGAAGGGCTTGGAGGCGGCGAGCGGCATCGTGGACGCCGTAGGCCTGGTGGAGGAAAGGGTCGATTCCGATAGCTGCGGGGTCGTCCGTCCCCAGCCGGGAGCGATGTACTGCGATAGCCGATTCCGCGAGCTGAAGAGAGCGAAGAGTCCTAAGAGAGCCACGAAGCTGGAGCCGAGGAGGACGCCGAGGGGAGCGCGACCGAAGGCCGCTGCTCGCCCTGTCATCGCGGGATGGCATACACCCGTCAACCTCGCAGGAGGGACGGGTGGTGCTCGGCTTGGCGCGTCGCGTGCGGCGGGGGGCGCACACCTGGCACACCTGCGGTTCGAACCAGGAAAGGTGTCGGAAAGAGAGGTATGAGATGAGAAGACAGAGAGTCTCAGCGGCAACAGTAGGAGGGAGGTAGGAAGGAGCAGCTACTACAAGCGGACATCATTTTACGTTGGTGACCGTGCAGGCGCGCACACGTTAGAATATAGTACTGTAGCCAGCAACTGCCTGGCTGCCAGGCGTGGAGCTTTTCATTCACTGCCCGCTCTCTCCTGGCTGTCAAAATTCCGTGGTTCTCCTCCACCCAAATCCATCCTCGATGTTACCACAGAGCAGTAGCCAAACCATGTACCCAGCTGGCCAGCTGCTCCCCCCCTCCCAAACTGCCATCACCCCCAACTCGAGAACCAAATCAACTGCTCCTCTCGGGGCCGGGGCCCGAGGCTGCAGAGCAGTAGCAAAAATCCAGCACCATCGGGGGACGGGATGGAACAGAGAATGGAGAGGAGCGACATAGGGGGCCCCTATAGGGCAGGGGGATGGCAGAATAGGAGGCTGGACAAAAATACTCAACGCGAAAATCACGCAGACTCTGGATGCTCGCTCGCACTAAGCACTAAGCCTGGGGCCCGTGGCATCAAGGAGGAGGAGGGGAAGGAAGATTCAGGAGGGGGAGGGCGGGGAGGAGGAGGCGGAGGAGGAGAGAGGGCTCGGGTCCTAGGACCCAGGACCTAGGCACTGGGAGGAGGATGAGGAGGGAAGATGGTTGGAAGGAGTGGGAGGAGGGAGCTGAAGGAAAAGTACGATCTAGCAGGAGAAGTATGAGTCGCACTGAGCTTCACATCGGACGGTGGATGGAGGAGGAGGGGAAAGAGCAGGTCGGACCAGGAAGATGGCGAGAGGAGGGTGAGGAAGGGCCAAGTGACGGGGGGCTCCTGGGCCCAGGCAAATAAACTGACATGCTCCTGACCAGACTGCCTGCAGAAACATCTGCTGAGCTGCAGGGCGCGCGGGCTCCACCGTCCAACAGATTCTGACTTACTGGCTTACTGGCTGGTTCCTCCTTCCTCCGCGTCCTCTTCCTCATCCTCCTCGTCCTCGTCCTTCCTAGGTCCTGGAGGCTTCGGTGCCGAGGCCGGGTGGCGGTGTTCCGATCGGGGCTAGCGAACCTACGGGGTCCAGAAGGACCCTCCTCTCCTCACTATCGGGCCTGAGCCTCAGCCCTGACCCGCTCGCCCTGTCGAAAAGAAACTTAAGATCTGAGCCTCAGAGTCTGACTCAGAGAGAGCGGAGCCGACATTGGCTCATTCATCGCCGCCACCACGGCCTCAAGTGACTCAAGTGATCAACCTGAGCATCAAGAAGCGAGCAAAAAAAGAGCATCGTGAACGCATCGCCTGCATTGCAGGTTCAGGCCTGGGCCTGGAGCACCTTCTGCAACATCGCGTACAACACTGGGTGCATGGATGAGGGATCTGCGCCGCAAGACGCCAGGAGCTTCACCCATTTCTTGGCATCCTCCTTCGAAGGATCACCCTCGCAGTTAAGCAGCTGCGCCTCCGTGATCGTGACCCTGGCGACCCTCACCACAACGAAACACTGCTTGATCGCCTCGTCGGTACCCTTCAACGCCCTAGACTCCTTCACGCCATCGACGTCCTTGTACTTCGCCACCAGCTTCTGGGCCGCCCTGACGACTTCCAGTCCCTTCTTCCAGTCGTCGATCATATCCTGGCCGTTTAACTTTAAGAGATGCTTGTCCCCCGCCTCGCGGACCTCGGCGATGGGCGAATTGGCGTTCAACGGCTGCTTCCATGAATGACCGTTCTTGCCGCCGTAAGCGTTCTTCGTGAGCTTCGCCTGGATCGTCTCGATGTCAGTTGCAGCCGCGGCTAAGAACTCGCAGATGAGGCGAACGCGGAGGTCGTTGGCGTCCTGCTTCACCTGACGTAGGCCATCAGTCAGACTCCTAAGCATGCGGATCGTTTCTGCGTCGTCCTCAGCGGGGGCCTTGATGGGCGCCAGCGCGAGGGTGCGCGTGAGCTTGTCGACCTAAGTGCGGGGTGAAATCGATCAGCCGCGATTCTCGATGACGACGGCGGCCCCGGGGCCCAAGGGAGGCAGGGGCCCCACTCGCTGGCCCGACCCTCGCCTTATCCGTCCCCCTCCCCTCCTGAGGCCCTGAGGCTCTGAGGGCCCTCGGTCAGAATCTTGCCCCGCCCCGTCAGAAACGCATTTGGAACGTCCTGGTACTACTATACTCGGGCCCCCGGGCGCGGACCTCCTGGCTCTTGGCATCTGGCTCGCACATCCCCAGGAATACCATGATGGAGTGGATCTCGACGATGCGGATGGCCATCTGGAAAGCAATGTCAGAGCCATTGGCACGCTCTTCTTGAGGAAGCATGTCGCCGATGTCCTTGACGAGATTGATCCGACAAGCGTCGAGGCCGTGCCACTCGCTGAATGGTTGGCTCTGGATGATATCCCAAATACGGCGGTAGAAGGCTCTGATCGAAATGTTCCTCTGGTCGTCGTCGCCAGCAAGCGGTGGGATCTTCTGGCCGTGGCAAGCCTTCCTGGCTTCAAAGAGTTTGGCCCAGTCATCGTTGATGCGGCCCTGCTCATCGACCGAATCCGCCGGGATGACTCCACCCCCAGGGCCTTCTTCAATGCTCTTGCACGCGTTGTCGAGAGCAACGACCATTTGAAGGGACTGCGAGGCCGCCTGCAATGGCGCGAGCACGCCCAACTCCTTCTTCAGAGAAGTCTTGAAGGCACCAGGCTTGCACCCAATCATGCATGCGTTAGCGTCGGGGTAGAATTCTGCTAAGCAACGCGCCTGGCGGTCACCTTCCATCTGGTCAATGCCCTGGATCTCCTTGACGCGCTCCGCCACGCAGGACATGACCTCAGTCTCGATGTCCTGCAGGGCCCCATCGCGGAGGTTCATCTGCAACTTAGGCATCAACTTGAAGACATCTCGGAACTTGTTTGCGTCGGCGGTGTCACCCTTGAGAGCGTCCACGGCTGTCCTGAGGTTGGCCACCTCGCCGGTCTGGTCGGGTAACAAGAGAGAGGCCTCCCACTGAGCATAGAGAGCCTTGATGGTCGCCTCCCCGGTGATCGCTTTGCGGAGCAGTGTCATGCGCTTCTGGTGCTCGGAAGGGTCGTCGTGGTGGCCCCCCTCCTCCTCCTCAGCCCAGACGAACTCGACGTCCGCCGGCTCAGATCCGCAGGCACCTGGCAGCGGGTCGAGGATGGCAGCCACGCCTCTGCAGCACGTCTTGATCTGGACGAGCTCCTAGCGGAGCAGGTGCGGGCGGGAATGTAGAGTCAATGTAGGGGATGGAGGAGTAGAGTAGGACTGAGTAGGAGGAGGGTTCGAGGAGAAGATCCTCCTCCTGGTTGTTCGTGAGAATATCCAGGACGACCTTGCAGCATTGCAGCACCTTCTGGGTGTAGCCCTGCATGCTGCCCGCTACCACCACTGGCAAGAGTACGAGGTCGACGATGACGTACGAGAGACACTCGACGCGGTCCTGGATCTCGATCTCTGACATCAAGGTAGGCCACGTACTGTAGGAAGGGTCGGCGTCCGCCTAGAGTGAGGTATGCAATATTCCCCAATCAGTGGGTGGTAGGTGGGTGGGTGGGTGGTGGGGTGTGGTGGTGGTGGTGGTGGTGGGTGGTGGTGGGTGGTGGTCGTGGGTGGTGGTCGTGGGGTGGTGGGTGGTCGGTGGGGGTGGCCACCACCACCCACCACCACCACCCACCCACCCACCCACCCACCACCCACCCACCACCCACCACCCACCACCCACCCACCACCCACCACCAACCCACCAACAACCGACCACCCACCCAAAACCCACCCACCACCGACCACCCACCACCTGCCCACCACCCACCACCCACGCGGCCCACGCACCACTGGTGGGTGGGTGGTGGGTGGTGAGTGGATGGTGGGTGGGCGGAGGCTGGAGAAAGTGAAGGCGGAGTGGAGGAAGTGAAGTGGAGGGTGCCCTGCCGCCTCGGCCCCCTGCCTCTCTGGGGCTCGTGCTCCCGCCGCGGAGAGGGCCGTCGGTCGTCGTCGTCGTCGTAACCTCCCTCCTGTCCCCGGGCCCCAGCCCCATCTTGCTCCTCATCTGACTCTTCGGATCCTCCTGCTCATTTCGGCAAGCCCTCGCCTCGTCGCTGGAGCCGCTGGGGGAGCCGAGGAACAGCTGACTGAGCTTCTGGAAGTTCAGGTCCTTGACGGCCGCGACGACCTGGCGATGCCACAAGCCCTTCTTGGTCACCAGCTGCAGTATCACTCCTCTGGACTTCAGCGCTTTGAGGCTGACCTTGAGCGTCGCGTCGTCCAGCAGCATGAGCCTGGTGGGCGCCATCTCCTTGGCGTGCGCCGCGAGCTCCGATGCTGACTTCATCTGCTGGAAGAGTCCAGGGTCGGAGACCCTGCCATCCTCGCCAGTCAGCGAGTTCATCAGCCGTCGCAGCTGGTACAAGTCCATGTTGGGGGTGTAGCTGCCATCCAAGATGCTATGGATGTCGGCGACCTTGTTGATGTAGGTCTGCCCCTTCGGAAGCTGGCCACCGCCACCGCCGGGTCTCGGGACCTTCTCAGAATACGAGGATCGGGCCATCTTCGATGCTGGACTCGGCGTGGCGGGCGTGGCGGCGGCGCTGCCGCAAGCGGAAGACGCGTCGGACAGGCGCCGTCGTTGACCCCTGCCGCCGCTGTCCCCCTTCCCCTGGCCCTGCCGGCGCTGGTGTCCCCACGACCTTTCCCCTTGCGGCCACGGCCGCCCGAGCCCTTGCTGGGGGGCGCCGCGGCCTCCTCCTCGTTTTCGTCGGCGAGCATCACCTCCATGGTTTCAACCTCCATAGGCTCCTCGTCGGTCATGGCGGATCCATCGGGGGCCTGGAGGGGGGGGGGGAACGACGGGGGAGAGGATAATAAGAAGAAGCGGCAGCAGCAGGGAGGATGGAGGAGCAAATGCAACACAGCAGATGCAACAGAAAGATGAGGGAGGAGTAGCAGAAGGTAAGAGAGGTCGGCGGAGGTAGGAAGGAGGAGGTAGGACCGAGGGAGGAACAACAGGTAACATGAGGAGGAGGAGGAGGAGGAGGAGGAGGGCGAGAGGATAGGAAAGGAGGATGAGGAGGAGGACGGAGGCAGGGGAGGACGAGGAGGAGGAGAAGGGAGGAGGTGATGGAGGTTGGAGCCCAGTCTGAGCTCCATGGGTCATGGACCCATGGATCTCGCACTCCACTGGATCACTCCACCTCTTCCCTCCTCCCTCCTCCCAGCTCCTCCTTCCTGCTCCCTCATCCCTTCTTCGATTCCCTCCCTCCCTTTGCCCCAGACCCCCCTGGGCCCCGGCCTGGGCGTTGGCCGCTGCGAAGTCCTGCATCGCGCGGTCCTGCTCGGCAAGGACCTCCCGCTTGATAATATCCAGGTCGGCGGCGGAGTACGGCGTGACCTGCATGCCCTCGGTCCCGACCACCTTGAAAGCGCCGCGCTTGAAGACGTCCATACCTTGGTTCTCACGAACCTGGCGCTCTGGCGGCACAGTGGTGGCCGCCCCACTGACCTGAAACGTCGTGCTGAAGCGGATCTGGCACCCAGCCTCGACGTCCTCGACGCAATAGCCCGCTTTGGTCCCGTAACGGCCCTCGATGCTGCTCTCTTTGATGTCCTTGGTCTCCGGGTCGAAGCCGAACTGGGTTGAGAACTGATCTTTGTCGATTAGCTTGCCCCATTGGACGAGCTCGGCCGTCGTGCTGGTCACTTCCTCGGCGCTCTGCATCTGGAACGTCTGCTTGCCGAGGCCCTTGTCCTTGGCCGCCAGGCCGGCCGCGTGGACCCTAGCGCCAACGCTAGGGTTTGAGCGGACCGCAGACTCCAAGCCAGACTTGGACGCGAAGTCGAACTGGCCATGTACCACCCCGAGCGGGCAAATGTCACAAAGATCTTCAATAGGCTCACGGCGCTCAGACTCCTTCCCTTTGTTGATCACCGTGTACTTGGCCCAACCCTGGCCGGGCTTGTCGCTCTTGACGCCGCACGAGCAACACATGCGCGGCCCATCAGCGATGAAGCTGCTGATGCAGGGAGCGGGGGTCGACGGGGCAGCCATGCTGTTAAGTCCGAGTAGGCTCACAAAGCAGTAGTTCGTTCGATGAGTGTCACACACTGAGGGTAGTCACGTTTGGCTAGCCCGAATGTCAATTGTTGCGGAGGGCATACAACTGCACAAATGATTCCGATACTTCAACCATCAGACGCTCAAATTCAATCAACGGGGAGAGGCTGGTGGTGCAGAGCGGTCTAAACTCTTCAGGGGTTCTATCGGACTCTATGGTGAGAACTACGGGTTGGATCCCCTCCTCTCTCGTCCCGCTTGTTTTTCGTCCTAGATCCCTGTGGTGTGCGTCTTGGGCGCCTCTTAGGGTCTTAGAGTCTTAGAGCCTCCTCGGTTTCCTCCTAGGACCTAGAATCTAGATCCTCCTAGGACCCCCAGCACCCCTTGAAACACTGCAGCGATATGATAAGTACTTGAAATCACCTGGGACCTGTGTCGTCGTCGTCCTCCTCCTCCTCCTCCCACTCCCCCTCCTCATATTCGTTTGGTGTCTTATGGTCGTCGTCCAAAGCCCCCTAAACGCTGAGCGTACCCGTGAGCGTCTCCTGACTGCATGGCATGGTGCCTGGTACGAAAGGAAATGGAAAAAGCAACAGGGAAGCAACAGGGAAGCAGCAACAGAGATGCCACCTGCGGCACATGCGGCCCTCTCATTATGGCGCATTTTGGGCTACGTCACTTTGAATCAAACAAAAGTAACAAAAGGCACTGCACAAGCGCTTGCCGCAAGCCCGCCGTGGGCGCAGGTAAGCTCGCGCTGAGGGGGATAAGGTGGAGGCTATAGCAGATGCGCAGTAGGGATTGACTCGGGTGGCCGCCTGAGTGACTCAGGCGGCTAGAGCACCCCGTGTTAATTGAATTGCAGGCTGGACACTAGCGGCTATCGGTCCTTCCTCGCGCACGTCTGGCACAGGTCCAAACTCCTCACGTTCTCAGACTTCTTGATGTAACCGCACTTCTTCGTATGATACACCGCGCTCCCCGGGACGTGCCACAGTGTACGCTTCGGACTCGGTGGAGTCGCCTCGGGGGTCGTACTGTTGCTGGATGTCGGCGAGGTCGCGCGCAAGTGCGCCCCCCACTGCGTCTCGAACTTTGAGCATGTACCGCACGGTTTGCCTCGCTTCGACGAACGCGTAGGACTCCCCGATAGAGGCTCCGGCTCCGACGACGATGACGTCGGCGCAGTCGCGACGCCCCTTCCCACCGCGAAGCGGCTGGTGAGGTGGCCAAGCAATAGGCCGCTCAGGAAGGCCAGGACGATGAAAGCCTCCACCACCATGGCAAAGCTTCTGAACGGCGCTGGGTGGCGGCCGGTCCTTGGCGAGGATCAGCGGCCCACTCAGTGGGCCGCATAGCCGTTGGTCCCTTGAACCCCTTGTCAGCCCGTGTCGCGCGGACTATATATATATATATTATATATATACATATACACACACACTCTCTCTCTCTCTCTCGTTGAATCCCCCGACTCCTCCTCCCCCGAACCGCTGCCCCGCGAATGCGGGGCCCCCAAGTGGGGCCGAACCGCCCGCCGCCCCACCAGTGTGGGGCATATCCCCGCGAGTGCCCACGGACAGATGGCAGGCGGTGGTGACCCGGTGGTGCCAGGTGGCATGCATGTGCCTCCCCCGCCTCCTCCTTTGAACTCTCTCTCTCTCTCGCTCTCTCTCTCTGTCTCTCTCTCCAGGGCCAGGGACTCCGGGCTCCGGGCCCTCGAGGCGGTTGCGCAACGCGCCGCTGGAAGCGACGCGCCGTCGAGGATAATCGGATGAGGATGGCGAAGAAGAGGAGGGAGGGCGAGCAGGAAGGACCAGGAGATGGAGTAGTAGGGAGAGGAGGAGGCGCATGAGTCCATGAGCCTCGACTCAGGACCATGAACCTCGACTCGACTCGACCACCTGAGGCTCCGGGCTAGGGCAAAAGCAGCGGAACGCGAAACAAAGTGAAGAACGTTTCCAACCAAACGAAACCAATATGAGTCACGCTCCAGCATAATATTGCGCACACCGCAGTCTCCGACAATGCGAAGGCGATCAGCGCTCTGCAACTTTGCACTATGCGATGTCGGGCCCCTGCGCGTGACAACTCACTGCAATTAAATTGCATTGTCATTTGGCCGCTGCGATCGTTGATCCTCTCCTCCTGTCTCCTGATCCTGTCTCCCCTATTCGTTCAAGCCCCCATTCCTCTCCAATCCAACTCTTCCTGTCCACCCTCTCCTTCTCAATCCTCCTCATCCTCATCGCATCTCCACCACAACTTGTGCCCCTCTCCCTCTTGCCCGAGGACCCTCCCCCGGCCTGGGGCCCTGAGGCCCTGGGGTTGGTGAACAGCAGGTAGAGTGTGGGCTAGTTAGTTGGATAGTGTGTTAGTGTGTTGTAGGGGGTGGAATCTCAAGGTATGCAAGTTGCTCTCAGTTCTGAAAGTCGTTCCTCCATCCATCCCCCTCATCGCCTAAAAGCCTAAAGGGCGAGCCTCGGCGCAACCGCCCCGCCTCCAACGATGGACAGTGCCGAAGCGCCGAAGGAAATGTTCACTCCTAGGAAAGTTGACACGCTGGCGCAAACCAATCAAACCGTTCACTCCGACGCACGTGAAGCCAGTAAGGCCGAAAAGTCAGGACTTCGCGTCTGCTGGAATGTCCTCGCACGGTGGCTGCTCGAACAGCCCATCGGCATTCAGTAAAAGAAGCATGCAGCAAATCGCTGTGGCCAAGCACGGTGGGCTTACACATTCACCAACGAAACCGAGACGCTGGCGCTCGCTAGGCAGACCGTCTAGCCCCGAGGTGGGAAATCCCATCAGGCCGAGCTGGTCCCCTGCAAGCAACACTCTGTCAAGTTCGTAAGAATACTTTGTTGACTTCTGGCACTGTGTCCGAAGACCAACATCGCCAGCGCGCTGCAAAGTCTGAGATGGGTCGCAAAATAAACCTGCACGGATCGTCTCATCAAGGTAATGCTTTCCTGTTCTTTTAGCCGCTCTGAGCCAGCAAATATCAATGATGGATCGTTCACGAAACGTCCCTGACAATCCCCGCAAACTGACCCCTGCCCGGCAAGTCCACGGGCGAGGGTTAAACTGAAAACCCATGCTCTGCAAGGCCTTCTTCTCATCATTCTGCCACTTGAACGCGTTATCATCGGGGTGGCTCATCACCCTCGCGTTCATGGAGGCCTGTGGTTTGGGGGGCGGAGGCGGGGCAAAAAAACATTACGAAAAACGTGCTCCTCGGGGCCATGCCATGCGCCATGCTGGAGTTCCTGCTGTGTAGCTGCTGTGTATGTTGCCCGACATCCTCGTTCGTCTGGGCGGCGGCACTGGGGCCTTCGGTGGAGCTCCCTATGGGCCTATGGGCCTCGATACGTGTGAGGGGTGTGCCAAATTGAGCGTGGGGGACGCATGCGGGCGGCGGCACTCGGGCCTTCGGTGGAGCTCCCTATGGGGCCACGGCGGCCACGAAACGTGTGAGGGGTGTGCCGAATTGGGTGTGGTGTGTGTGGGACGCATGCGGGCGGCGGACCTGCGGGGGAGGTGTCTTTCACGGTGAAAATCAAGTTCAGGCGTGAGGCGGCACCGCATGAGTATCGGAGTGGCCGCCGTTAGCCCGTAGTAAGCTGCTCGACGGCGGTGACGACGACGACGACGACGATGACGACGGACGACGACGACGACGACGATGACGACTGACGGACGATGACTCTGACGACGACGACGACGATGACCACGACGAGACGACGACGATGACGACGGACAGCCAATGCCCTCGGCAATTTTGCGCGCGCCGTGACCGTCACGTCAAGTCTGGATCGAACGGTTCGAACGCGCTTCCGTGTCCTAACTCGGGCCCGCGCCACCGCTCAAAACCACCTCTTCGGGGGGGTCCACGATGGCCCGTACCGAGGACCCAGGATGACGCATCGGGGAGGAGGAGGACGAGAACGAGGAGGACCAGGAGCAGGGCCCGAGGGCACAACAAGATGCACTCCCTGACTTCCGTGCAATATATCCCCCAGTACTTGTCGGCCCTCAGCATATGGATCAGGTCCTAGTGGTGAAACGGAGGAGAGACGTGAGTGAAAGGGCCTCACGGGAGGGAGGGGCGGGCGGGTCCTCATCGGGTAAGTTCAACAGAATCCTGTACTGCATGGGCCCGATGAACACCGCAATGAAGTCCAGCAACGTCCGGCAACGAGGAGGGGGGCGTGCGTTTTCCCACCATATTTGACGGGGCCGAATCTGGGCCGTGTTGACAGAAGCCGCCCATGGGGCCCATGTGTTCCGATATCTATCAAATGCCCACCCGCTCGCCATTCACGGTCACCCTCCTCCTCTCTCCGTCATCCTCCTCTTCCCGCCCATCCTCATCCCCCTCCCGCCGCCCGCCTGCCCCCTCCCCTTCGCCCCTTCGCGTCCTCACCCAAGGATAAATATGTGAGCATATTCTGCGTGGCCATGTCGGACATCTGGCAATATAGCAACGCCAGAGTTTCGCCTGGGTCGACGACTGGCGGCGGTGTTGGGTCCCACCATATGCGCAACGGATACATTACGGATGTCATGGCAGATGCCACCAGCAACCCCCAGAGAGAGGGGGTCTGAGTCTCAGAGTGAGTGGGTCTGGGGGTCTAGAGTCTAGAGTCTGGGGATCGCGGCAGCGATCGACTAACGACCTCGTTATCTCACGTCGGCTGACGGCATCGATGCATCACCTATGCGCGCTGGCCCATGCCCCCCCCCCATCCGCCCCCATCCCGACGTCGCCGAAGCATCGAAGCATCGCCGGCGCAACGGCGGCGCAGCAGGAGATCATTCGACGTTACTCCTCTCTCTCGGGCCCGATGGGGGCTTCCAGAAGGTCCAATACTCCACGGCATCGATTCCACCGCGCGCGCGCTCCGCTTGCAGCCAGTAATCCAATGGATGGGGCA